CCTGAAGGTTCGGGGACGTGTCTGGCAGCGGGGATTAAATTCTTGTTACCGTCCTCCACGGCGACGTGAGCTCTCGCCACGTACAACACTACTGTTCTCTGACAGACACGCCCCAACGTCCTGCTGCGTTCATGGTTTTCGGAAATACAAGACATCAACAGATGATATTAAAGTGATGAACAGGAGTCTCTTCAAATGTAAATTACTTCCAAGAATGTGTTATTTGAAAACTTAAAGTTAATTGTCATTTTAAAACATATCAGCAGTCACATTATCTTAAATCGGAAACGCGAAATATGGTAGTTAAGACTGCGGAAGAGCATTTGAAAGCAGAATCAGATTAATTACATATTACAGCTAACTGTAAAGTGGGTTTAGATATGCACACTGAAGTACACATAAACAAGTATCATTGACAGTTTAGACACCCGAGACCGAGTATTCAACCTACATAAAATAGCTTAGTCAGGGGTTTCTGACTACACATATAAAATGTGTATAAGAAAAGTCCAACAGGTGACATGTGACACAACCTAATGTAAATGCAAACAACCAGCTCAATATTAATTTGCACCACGAGTTAGCAATGATTTCAAAGTGGTTTCTCCCTTTAGTTGTCGTTGTTATTATTAGGATACGTTTGCTTAACCCTGCGCCACTCGAAATAAGTTAAATAAAGGCCCAGCTGATTACCTCTATATGTAGCCAAAGCACGAACAGAATGGTTCAAATAAGTAAACCCACGACCCGAACATTAGGAATAAATATTTTGGTCATCTTATCCCCACGATGTGGTAGCGTGGCCGAGTGGTCTAAGGCGCTGGATTTAGGCTCCAGTCATTTCGATGGCGTGGGTTCGAATCCCACCGCTGCCAAAATCTTTTCATCTACTTGATATTTTATTAAAAATACAGGTTGTAAGTTAACAAAACCCATGGATTGAGTTATTTATAAGATAAAATTTAAAATATAAATAGGATATTCTCTTGTTATGAACTACCTAAATGGACTACAATCACTCCCACATCATGCTCTTCAATCAACTGAACTTCTTGGGCATGTGGCCTAGCTCTCTTAAGTAATATGTTATAAGGAAGTAAAAACGTTATTTCAGCAGTTCCACTCCCAATGAAACAATTGACAACCCACAAAATATCCGGGTATCCAGCATAATGAAAAGTATTGGCTTGATAACAAAATTGATTTTTTTATATCCACCTTTATAAATAAATTAACCTTAACTGTTAGCAAACGCCAGCTAACGAAGTGTAAACAGAGCATCAGATAACGGAGTATTTGGAACGCTAATAGCGGAGTTAATCTTAATGACAACTCGATACAACAGTTTAAATTAATCCTACACTAATGGTTATATCACATACAGAACTGTAGTAAGACTCACCGTGTTAATATCGACTTTTAAACTTCGATAGCGTCCGTTGTTTTCACTTTGTACGCCCCCTACGAAAAAAAAAAATCTAGCTAACATTGCCTTCTATGCTTCAACATTTCTCCGCCGTGATCGGTCAAATGCTGGGTGAATGTTGGAGCCACGAACATAATTGGCCAACAAATGTTGGGGCCTGCCCTCTCATTGGCCAACGAATGTTGGAGCTCGCACTCTCATTGGTTAACAAATGTTAAGGCTGCAGTCATTTCGATGGCGCAAGTTCGAAACCGACCGCTCCAAAAATATTTTCATGTGCTCAATATTATATCTAAATAACGGTTGTTAATACATGAAACCCATTGATGGACATATTTATAAGCAGAGGTGGAAAAGTATTCAGATTTTGTACTTAAGTACAAGAGTGTAGGAATACTATTACAAGTAAAAGTCCTGCAATCCAAATGCTACTCAAGTAAAAGTAGAAGAACTTGGCACCAAATATACTTAAAGTACCAAAGGTAAAAGTATTAATTATGCAGATATATCACATGTTTTGATAAACAAAAATTGATGCATTAGAGTGTTATGAGAGCTGGTAAATGTGTCTCTAATTTGATTTACTTTGTATACTGCGTATAGCGTGGCTTTTGAATTTTACTCCAGGTGTAATTCATGTCTTATTTAAGTGGTGTTTCAATTTGACATTATTAATCCAAACCTGCAATGTTATTTAAAGTATTACATACATGTATAGTGGAGTAAAAGTACACTTTTTGGGGAAGTTCATGAGATCTTTCTAGAGGGTTATCAAGAATAACTTTTATCCAATGACCTTTTCCCTCTCTGTCTGTGTCTGTGTATTCTCTTGTTCCGATTAACCCAGCCAAATCTTTTTTCTTGTTTTGTATCTATATCTACGACAAGAGAATACACAGACACAGACAGAGAGGGAAAAGGTCATTGGATAAANCCATAAGGAGCTGTAGAAATACCGCAGTTTTTGCGTGGCTGTGTCTTTAGTTGAAAGCCCAGTGGCGATCTGCTCATCTCTCATCGAAATAATATGCTACAAAGGGGCGGACTGGCCATCTGGAGAGACAGCAAGCGCATTTCGTAAATTCCGTTCGTTCCCATTGGCTAATCAGTTTTTGAGTGACAGCCCACTACACCACAGATCATACAGTGCAACTCATGCAGCAAACTCCGGAGTCCACTCGGCCACGTTAGTGTTGGTGCCTCCTGTGGAGGTTTTCATGAAAATATCGGACTTATCTTATGGATTGCTGTGCATTATACTTGTGTTGTGTAGTTTATACTTTATTCCAACTTTAAATATTTTAATACCTGAACACACTGCTGCTGTTAAATAATTTCCCGCAGCTGCCTGCACTGTACAATCGCTGGAGGACTGGGCTGTCACTCAAAAACTGAGTAGCCAATGGGGACGCACCCCTGAAAGTCCCGCCCACCTGGGAGGTTTGTGTCAGAATCTCAAACAAAAAGTGAAGGAGCGCAAAAGAGAGTGCTGCAGCGAGAGCAAAAGTCTGATCATTGAGAAAGAAG